TGGTTCCAGGGTTCATAAAGTCTCTCTCTTTGAAGTATACATACTTGTTAACCATGGACTACTTCTGGCTAGATTAACTCTTGTGTAATCAATGGTGCTAGTGAAGCTTATATCATATCCACTCTGATTTAGCAATCCACACTAGTAGCAAGTATTACCTTCACTGGGGGCAGTGGTAAATGCAGTGGGATCCCTGGACGGATACCCTGATGCCGTCAATCCTTTTTCTGCACCTTGTCCTCACCCACTTACTGAGGTGTGGTGAGGCCATAAATGGGATCATTTCCAAGTCCACACAGAGTTTTGGAATTTACCAGTTTGGGCAGGGAGCAAGTACAGGTATAAGTGCGTGGCTGTGTATCTGTGTGTATTATGTGTCACTGTGGACTTTGTGACCGCTGGTTTCAAAGCGCTGGCGGTTTTGCGGTTCATGGTTGTGGGGAGCGTCAGACATCGGACGAAATACCAGCTGTTCCAACGAGATGCAGCCTGAATTTAGACTGCTGCCAGCACCATTCCTCGACCTGTAATCGCTGCATGAAGAGTTAGGCTAGTTTTAACCGCCATAATTGTACTCGAGGCAAACGACTGCGAAAGGACCAGAGGACTAATCTGCCCATCCAATGCAGCCTATGTAGCGAACGATTCCCCCGCCAGCAGGACCTCACCCGCCACTGGGGACAGAAACACTGTGTGTAGAACGGTCCCCTTTCACCTCAATTATTCTCCTTGTTTCTTTTCCTTTCTCGCTGTTGTCTCCCGCTTCTGGGAGCGACCTGGCCATTTTGTGGCAGTTGTACATAGTAGTAGTAGTAGTAGTAGTAGTAGTAGTAGTAGTAGTAGTAGTAGTAGTAGTAGTAGTAGTAGTAGTAGTAGTAGTAGTAGTAGTAGTAGTAGTAGTAGTAGTAGTAGTAGTAGTAGTAGTAGTAGTAGTAGTAGTAGTAGTAGTCAAAGAACTTTATTGAAAATCCATGATAATGTGATCGGAAAGATGATTGAAGAAAAAATCCCAACTCGAGTCAAATCCAGGCAAATATTAGCAGTCACTACTATCAAAGCAGATCACTATTCACAATAGCGCAACTTGGAAAGCCGGCCAAAAAGGAAGATATTGAAATTAACCGAAAGCCTCCGTGCACAGCACATGGAGGACCTTATAATTATATTCCCACTCACAACTGGAGCAAACGGCATTGGTCCAGGAATGAAGTAGTAGTAGTAGTAGTAGTAGTAGTAGTAGTAGTAGTAGTAGTAGTAGTAGTAGTAGTAGTAGTAGTAGTAGTAGTAGTAGTAGTAGTAGTAGTAGTAGTAGTAGTAGTAGTAGTAGTAGTAGTAGTAGTAGTAGTAGTAGTAGTAGTAGTAGTAGTAGTAGTAGTAGTAGTAGTAGTAGTAGTAGTAGTAGTAGTAGTAGTAGTAGTAGTAGTAGTAGTAGTAGTAGTAGTAGTAGTAGTAGTAGTAGTAGTAGTAGTAGTAGTAGTAGTAGTAGTAGTAGTAGTAGTAGTAGTAGTAGTAGTAGTAGTAGTAGTAGTAGTAGTAGTAGTAGTAGTAGTAGTAGTAGTAGTAGTAGTAGTAGTAGTAGTAGTAGTAGTAGTAGTAGTAGTAGTAGTAGTAGTAGTAGTAGTAGTAGTAGTAGTAGTAGTAGTAGTAGTAGTAGTAGTAGTAGTAGTAGTAGTAGTAGTAGTAGTAGTAGTAGTAGTAGTAGTAGTAGTAGTAGTAGTAGTAGTAGTAGTAGTAGTAGTAGTAGTAGTAGTAGTAGTAGTAGTAGTAGTAGTAGTAGTAGTAGTAGTAGTAGTAGTAGTAGTAGTAGTAGTAGTAGTAGTAGTAGTAGTAGTAGTAGTAGTAGTAGTAGTAGTAGTAGTAGTAGTAGTAGTAGTAGTAGTAGTAGTAGTAGTAGTAGTAGTAGTAGTAGTAGTAGTAGTAGTAGTAGTAGTAGTAGTAGTAGTAGTAGTAGTAGTAGTAGTAGTAGTAGTAGTAGTAGTAGTAGTAGTAGTAGTAGTAGTAGTAGTAGTAGTAGTAGTAGTAGTAGTAGTAGTAGTAGTAGTAGTAGTAGTAGTAGTAGTAGTAGTAGTAGTAGTAGTAGTAGTCACATCCTTTATTGCTGAACCCACAAATAATTGTGATACAAATTGTAAACCATCCGAGGAAGAAGAGAAAGCCATTAAAAATAAAAAATAAAACAAAAAAGGTTATTGTACCATGCCAAACGGCTATTATTAAGGCATGTACCAATTGTAATACATGACGTAGTATAGTAGTCAAGCACCTACAAAATACTTTGCAGGATAATATTTAAATTGCCTAGCATGCCTACAAATCCGCAGAGCATGCCAATGTTAAATAGGCCAACATATGAATGAATACCGAAGGCGGTTACATGGACAGAAGGCGACATTGGTCGAGAAAAGATGGGCCTATTCTCTTCCTCAAGTAAGACGCTCTGCAACCACGGAGGCACGTGATTGACCACCTCAGCAAAACAAATGCAATTTTGCAGCGTAGCTGTGCCATCACAACAGCGTACTGGAGGTCACTATGCTTGTTAACCACCAGCTGAACAATGTTCTTCAATGCACGAGAGCACTCCGTGCCACATACGCCGTTTGTCGAGAATACGAGCGGAGTGAATGACCCCCTCTCGACATCGACAACACGCTGAAGATAGGCCCGCTTCTTCTGATGTTCATTCCGGGAAATCTGTGCAAGGACTTCCTGTCGCGACAGCAAAGACGCCGAGGGGTGAGTAACCCTCACATCAAAGAATGCATCTTGCTGTGGCGACCAAAAGCCCCTTGCACGGATATCCAATCGAGCCTCTGCAGCACGATTAGCGGTAGCGCCGTGAAGTTGTTCACCATCCAACGGCAAAAGCGGTGGCTCTGTCTGAACATCCGGGATGGCAGAAGTCATCACCTCCACCAGCACATCACGAAGCTCATTGTGTCGCAGACTTGGGTAGCCTCCTGTAGGGCATGTCAATGCATGGTCGACAGACATGTCTCTACCACACACACAAGTTGGTGGGAGGCCATCAATACCCCAGCCATAGCGCAGGGCGAGACCATCCCGGAAACATGCTTTATTTAGCGCAAAGCCGTTCACAGCCAGAGGCTCAGCCGTTAGCCAACTGGACACGCCAGCATCAGCAGCAATCTCAAACAGCACTCGCTGACATGGGCTGAGCTCAGGACGCAAAGCAACCTGAGCCTCCTTAGCCGCAGTAGCCATTCTCCGACGTTCGGCATTTCGCAACGCTATTACCTCCGCCTGCAAATCAGCCGGAGCAATGTCAGCATCAGGGCGACGAAGCAAATCAATCACCGGCCGTGCCGAGGCCATACTGGAGGTCCACTGATGCACCGCATGAGGCCCAATGGCAGGAATTGAGAGACCACCGGACTTAACAGGCAAGCCGATGAGACTCCGCTCAATGGCGGACATGTTCTTCCGACCAGTGATTGCTGGTATCAAACTGTTGTCAATCACATTATCTAGCCTGCCGAAAGCATCCGGCTCCGGCAAGCCATGTGAGCACATATGATAGCGCCAGCGCGACCTCAATCCACGGGAGAAAACAGAATATGCAGCATGTGGCTGGGTTTCCGCCAGAGTGGAGAGACGTAGTAGTAGTAGTAGTAGTAGTAGTAGTAGTAGTAGTAGTAGTAGTAGTAGTAGTAGTAGTAGTAGTAGTAGTAGTAGTAGTAGTAGTAGTAGTAGTAGTAGTAGTAGTAGTAGTAGTAGTAGTAGTAGTAGTAGTAGTAGTAGTAGTAGTAGTAGTAGTAGTAGTAGTAGTAGTAGTAGTAGTAGTAGTAGTAGTAGTAGTAGTAGTAGTAGTAGTAGTAGTAGTAGTAGTAGTAGTAGTAGTAGTAGTAGTAGTAGTAGTAGTAGTAGTAGTAGTAGTAGTAGTAGTAGTAGTAGTAGTAGTAGTAGTAGTAGTAGTAGTAATAGTAGTAGTAGTAGTAGTAGTAGTAGTAGTAGTAGTAGTAGTAGTAGTAGTAGTAGTAGTAGTAGTAGTAGTAGTAGTAGTAGTAGTAGTAGTAGTAGTAGTAGTAGTAGTAGTAGTAGTAGTAGTAGTAGTAGTAGTAGTAGTAGTAGTAGTAGTAGTAGTAGTAGTAGTAGTAGTAGTAGTAGTAGTAGTAGTAGTAGTAGTAGTAGTAGTAGTAGTAGTAGTAGTAGTAGTAGTAGTAGTAGTAGTAGTAGTAGTAGTAGTAGTAGTAGTAGTAGTAGTAGTAGTAGTAGTAGTAGTAGTAGTAGTAGTAGTAGTAGTAGTAGTAGTAGTAGTAGTAGTAGTAGTAGTAGTAGTAGTAGTAGTAGTAGTAGTAGTAGTAGTAGTAGTAGTAGTAGTAGTAGTAGTAGTAGTAGTAGTAGTAGTAGTAGTAGTAGTAGTAGTAGTAGTAGTAGTAGTAGTAGTAGTAGTAGTAGTAGTAGTAGTAGTAGTAGTAGTAGTAGTAGTAGTAGTAGTAGTAGTAGTAGTAGTAGTAGTAGTAGTAGTAGTAGTAGTAGTAGTAGTAGTAGTAGTAGTAGTAGTAGTAGTAGTAGTAGTAGTAGTAGTAGTAGTAGTAGTAGTAGTAGTAGTAGTAGTAGTAGTAGTAGTAGTAGTAGTAGTAGTAGTAGTAGTAGTAGTAGTAGTAGTAGTAGTAGTAGTAGTAGTAGTAGTAGTAGTAGTAGTAGTAGTAGTAGTAGTAGTAGTAGTAGTAGTAGTAGTAGTAGTAGTAGTAGTAGTAGTAGTAGTAGTAGTAGTAGTAGTAGTAGTAGTAGTAGTAGTAGTAGTAGTAGTAGTAGTAGTAGTAGTAGTAGTAGTAGTAGTAGTAGTAGTAGTAGTAGTAGTAGTAGTAGTAGTAGTAGTAGTAGTAGTAGTAGTAGTAGTAGTAGTAGTAGTAGTAGTAGTAGTAGTAGTAGTAGTAGTAGTAGTAGTAGTAGTAGTAGTAGTAGTAGTAGTAGTAGTAGTAGTTTTAGTCAAAGAACTTTATTGAAAATCCATGATAATGTGATCGGAAAGATGATGGAAGAAAAATCCGAACTCGAGTCAAATCCAGGCAATTATTAGCAGTCACTACTATAAAAGCAGATCATTATTCACAATAGCGCAACTTGGAAAGCCGGCCAAAAAGGAAGATATTGAAATTAACCGAAGGCCTCCGCGCACAGCACATGGAGGGCCTTATAATTATATTCCCACTCACAACTGGAGCAAACGGCATTGGTCCAGGAATGAAATTAGTAGTAGTTTTAGTAGTAGTAGTAGTAGTAGTAGTAGTAGTAGTAGTAGTAGTAGTAGTAGTAGTAGTAGTAGTAGTAGTAGTAGTAGTAGTAGTAGTAGTAGTAGTAGTAGTAGTAGTAGTAGGAGTGTGTGTGTGTGTGTGTGTATGTATGTGTGTGTGTGTGTGTGTGTGTGTGTGTGTGTGTGTGTGTATGTGTGTGGTCACCAGGTGTGTGTGTGTGTTTGTGTGTGTGTGTGCGTGTGGTGTGTGTGTATGTGTGTGTGTGTGTGTGTGTGTGTGTGTGTGTGTGTGTGTGTGTGTGTGTGTGTGTGTGTGTGTGAGCTGGAGGCTGCACTGCGGACCATGAAAGCGGGTAAAGCTGGCGGTCAGTCGGGCATTCTACCGGACATGGTCTTACATGGTGGCAAAGACCTACACAGTCGCATCCTGACCATCATGCGTAAATCCTGGCTCGAAGGCACTGTAGTCGATGATTGGCGTGATGCAGTGGTTGTGCCCATCCCCAAGAAGGGAGATCTACACCACTGTGATAACTGGCGTGGCATCAGTCTGTTGGACGTTGTCGGCAAGCTGCTTGCCCGTATTCTGCAGGACCGCCTCAAAGCTATCGCTGAAGATGTCTTGCCAGACTATCAGTGCGGCTTCAGAAAGGGACGTGGCTGCGTCGATATGGTGTACGTCGCACGGCAGTTGATGGAGAAGACGTTGGAGCATGATTCAGATGCATATGTCCTGTTCGTCGATCTGAGAAAGGCGTATGACAGTATCCCGCGTGCAGCGCTGTGGCAGGTTCTCCAAAAGCTTGGTGTTCCGCCGGCAATGCTCCGCATCATTCAGTCACTCCACAACGGCATGACTGCTTCTGTTCGGGTGGATGGCAAGCTGACTGACCCGATAACCGTGCGGAATGGATTGCGTCAGGGCTGCACTCTCGCACCAATGCTCTTCAATTTGTACTTCTCTGCCGTCGTTGCCAGTTGGAGGTCCAGTTGTCCGGACGCTGGCATATTCTTTCGATATAAAGTCGGGAGGAAGCTAGTAGGTGACCGAACGGCGAAGGGCAAGCTCCTGTCATCAACGGTCACAGAATCCCAGTTTGCTGACGACGCTGCACTCTACGCAACATCTCGGCCTGCCTTCGAAGCGATGACTTCCAGCTTCATCACATGCGCAAGCAGCTGGGGCCTGACGGTCAGTGTGACAAAGACCAAGGGTATGGCTGTGGGTGAGTCTGCTGATCGCCGTGACGTTGTTGTTGGAGCAGACACGATTGAGGTGGTGGACCAATTCACCTACCTTGGCAGTGTGCTCTCCTCGGATGGTCTTGCCTGTGCTGATGTCCGCTCTCGCCTTGCGAAAGCCTCAGCTGTGTTCGGAGCCCTCAAAGCTCCTGTCTTTGATAACCAGACCCTGTCGCTTCGCAGCAAGAGGCGTGTCTATGAGGCTGTCGTCCTCACGACCCTCTTGTATGGTGCGGAGACGTGGACCACCAAGGCAGGCCACCTCCAGAAGCTAAACACGTTTCACCATCAGTGAGTTCGGTCCATTGTGGGTATCGGTCGTCGTCAACAGTGGGATGATCGGATCTCAACGGCCACATTAGCAGCTACATTCGGTGTTTACCCTGATATCACCCGCATAATCCGTCGCCACCGGCTTCGTTGGCTGGGTCACGTCGGCAGGATGGACGACTCACGCGCACCGAAGCAATTGCTGTTCGGCGAGCTGCCTGCCCCCGTACTCGTCACGGCCCGAAGAAGAGGTGGCGAGATGTGGTGTCAACTGACCTGGCGGAACTCGGCGTGACCACCTGGCTTGAGAGTTGCCAAGATCGTCCCGGCTGGAGACGAGTTGCGAGTAGCACCCCACCGCCACGCCCCGCTCCTGATCCTCTTCTATGTGTCTGTGGACGCCCATTTCGTCGAACAGGAGACCTGAAACGACATGCCAAGTTCTGCGCTCGTGTTCTCACTTGAACTTTCCGACAATTCGCTATCATTGCGTACGCAATGGGCAAGATCAAGGTCAAGGTCAAGGTGTGTGTGTGTGTGTTCGTGTGTGGTTCGGTGGGTGTGGGTGCGTGCGTGAGAGTGTTGACAGTTTCCTAACGCAGGTTGATCTGTATCACTACAATGTAGTGACGTGTAGTTACAGCAGGGTGTGTCGTGAAAGCCTTCAGCTCTCCCTGTACTGGTTGACACTGATTTTCACACACCCTTACCAACACCGTACCTTGCACTTGTACACAAACCCAGTACCAGCTCACTAGAACACAGCTTTTTAGATCACACTTCGCTCACTCCAACTCAGCTCTGTGGTTCACACTTCGCTCACTCCAACTCAGCTCTGTGGTTCACACTTCGCTCACTCAAACTCAGCTCTGTGATTCACACTTCACTCACTCCAACTCAGCTCTGTGGTTCACACTTCGCTCACTCCAACTCAGCTCTGTGATTCACACTTCGCTCACTCCAACTCAGCTCCGTGGTTCACACTTCGCTCACTCCAACTCAGCTCTGTGATTCACACTTCGCTCACTCCAACTCAGCTCTGTGATTCACACTTCGCTCACTCCAACTCAGCTCTGTGGTTCACACTTCGCTCACTCCAACTCAGCTCTGTGGTTCACACTTCCCTGACTCGAACACAGCTTTTTAGATCACACTTCACTCACTCCAACTCAGCTCTGTGGTTCACACTTCACTCACTCCAACTCAGCTCTGTGGTTCACACTTCGCTCACTCCAAATCAGCTCTGTGGTTCACACTTCGCTCACTCCAACTCAGCTTTGTCGATCACACTTAGCTCACTCGAGCTCAGCTGCTGCTCTGTGGTAGATCTACACCAGGGAGTCGTAAAAGCCAATACGACTCCCTGATCTACACGCTTCACTTACTCGAGCACACCTCAATTTCTCACACTTCACTCACATTACGTGTTACATGACAAGACACGACTCAATCAGATGATGTGCTCTGACTGAATCTGAGTCTGAAGGTAAAGTCAAAATTGTTGAAGTCATCTTTCCAGTTTACATGGTTTGTGTGTTTGAGTCCGTCTCTCTTGTTGTGTGGAGGTGACCTTCTATGTGACATGGTCTGCAATGTCCGCTACATGCAGCTACAAGTGATATTACGTTAGTTGTGGATTCCAGCAGTTACCTAACAACACCGTGACTGGCTATACTCAATTATCTCCTAGTGTTTCAAACAGTCGAGAGTAGAACACCAGCTGGAGATGGTAAAACAATGTTTGTACCGCCGAGGCAGGCTGAGTTTTGTGGCCTAACCGGAACGCAACTGTCGACACAACGTTGCTGGACAATTCGTCACAAGTTCCGTACGGTCAAAATTCTGCTGAGAATGTCACAGGGAATGGACATTTCGTTTGATAAATTCCGCACAGTCCACATTCCACTGGCTATGTGACCGATAGTGGACATTTCGTCACAGGCCCCGTAAAGTCGACATTCTGTTAGGCATACGACTCGGATTGAACAGCAGTTAATCAGCTCGGTGATCTGGTGATACAACCTTCGGTAAGTACCCGTACTCGCTATGATGGTGAAGTGTGGTCTGTGTAAAAGGTCACGGTGTGTGTGTGTGTGTGTGTGTGTGTGCGTGTGTGTGCGCGTGTGTGCGCGCGTGTGTGCGTGCGTGTGTGTGTGTGGCAAAAGTACTGTGTGATGCATAGTGGTATTGTGCTGTAAAGATATTATGCAGTTGCGGAGACAGTAGCATGTATCTTTGAACTCCAACAAAACTTTACTTTAGCGCTTGCACCCGAATGCATCAGAGCAGTGTATAGGAAATGGGAGAGCCAAGCGACTACATGCAATGGAAAGTCACAGAGCAAAGCTGCATGCATACCCACGTATTCTCACAACACCGCACAAGGATGATTGGGGTGCACCAGTGTGCTGGTTTCGATCAACTGGTGAAGCGATTGGCGTTGCAAACAGCCAAAGTGATCGCTCACGACTGAGCTGCAGCAGTACCCGCGACCGGGTGCAAAGTTCCCTGATCGACGTTGCAAACAGCCAACCAGGGTGAAGCAATTGGCGTTCGCAAACGGCCAAAGCAATCGCTCATACTTGTGCGGCAATAGTACCCGCGACCGGGTGCAATGACTACTGATTGGCGTCGCAAACAGCCGACCAATAGTATGCAATTTTAAGCAGAGATAGTAGCAGCAAAGAAACCAGTTGAAGGAAGCTGTTCCCAGAAAACCAGCACACCGCACCCCAGCAAGCGTTCACCGCCAATGCACGAGAGCTAAGAACAAGTGATTAAGGCAAGACATGGATTATTTATTTATTTATTTTACTCCAAGAAATACATGGCTGGGGTAGCCAATGACCACTTTGCGTGGTTATTGCAGGGTTTTTATAGCCAACCACGCCTAACAAGGAAAAGAGTAAGAAGTCAAAAAGAAAAGGAAAAGAAGCAAATATGGACCAAAATTGTGGTCTACTTGTAAAGCAAGGCGTTCCTGAATGCTGTTAAAGTAGAAAGGCCCTTTGTCTCCTGGTGCAGCTTAAGCCAATGCAAATAGCCATTGAAAAGGGGGGGGGGAGTGTAGCAAGGCAGAAGAGCGGGCTAGAGGAAGGGAGAGTTGGTTCCTAGTGGAGCTATCCCGTCGGAACCAGTCAAATGGTTTTTAAACCATTTGACTGGTTCCGACGGGATACTACTGTCTTGTTCTTAGCTGTCGTGCATCTTAAAAGATGCACGAGAGCTAAGAACAAGACAGTAGTGATTAAGGCACGAGATGGATTATGG